TGTAACTATCTTATATAAAATAAAATGTATTAGAATTATACGGAATCAATGAAAACATGACACATTGGGTTGATTAAATAAAAACTAGTACAGTATCTTATATATCTAATAATAATAGCAATAATAATAAAAACTGTTGATATGAGAATGGAGTCATATTGTATGTGCGGTAAAATAATTTTCTTGAAAAATACAATTTAAAATCAACGACTAAATACCACCATATTCAGTCGACTGAAGGATCTGAATGCAAAGCGTTTAAATTTCTTCTTTTTATCATCCCTAGTTTACAAAAAAAAAAAATGTTGGATGATGTGTAAATAATTAAAAAATATTTATTATTCAAGCTTCAATTGTTAAAATTGTCTTTAAAATTGTGATTTATAAACCATTAGATATTGATAGAGCTGCAGCTTAAACTTTCACATGAGCACTCTTTCTGCCCAAAAAAGTGTCCACAGAAAAAGATAAAAAAAATCAATCTTAAGCCGTTGACGATCATCATCGTTAAATCCATAGAAATATTTTATGTCTAGTAGACAATGGTGCAATTCTTTGAAGATCATTATTTGCTCAACGTCAAACTATTAGTCATTTTTTTTCACATATAAATAAATATGTGAATATATTATCTACCATATCGAATTAACTGGGATTTGTCGCTATAATTCCACAACCCGCGTTTTTGTTTTACCGGTTTTGTTTTTAATTCGTCTGCATGCTGTATAGTAAACGATTTCTCCTTTGGAACTCAATATAATATCTACGTTCGATTTGTAAAAAAAAAACCTATTAACTTTACCAATCTCAACGCTATGTTCGTATTCGGGTATTCCTCGCTTTTAATTAAAACGAAAAATGTAATGACTATATAATATACACATGGCGATATACCGTTACAATGCTCGGGTCCGTAGTAATAAAAACATTTTTTTAATTGGTCACATCCTTTGAGTGTTTTGAAAACAATATTACAGTATTATTATAGCTATTTGTAATTTTCGCTTAACCAACAATATTGTTTTACGATTAGATTTTGCTTACAGGTATAGTATTTTGATAAAACTATCTATTTGTTTATGTTATATAATATATTATAATCGAATATATTTTATTAATAAATTCAGTTTCAAACAACTTTTGAATATTTAAATAAATTTCGAGAACGGAATAATCGTTCAGACATGATACTGGACAATATTTTCTGCAGTTTCAGAAACGAATATTATGTAGGTCAACACAATGGCATATAATTTTAGTCGCTTCAATTTGTGTGTGAATCGTACGATAAATAAATTAAATATTAAATAGAAATTATTCAAATTGTGGGAATTTGCATCTATTTAACATTTATTCTTAAAATTCAATTGCATCTTCTTCGATGCAATCATAATCCATCATAGATCGCTAACATGCTAATTTTTTTTACTCGAAACTTCGAGTTTAAATTAAGTATATAGTTGCGTGTGTTTATTCTGTATTATCATTGAACCACGCATCGTCCATCTATAATTTCGACCATTCGGGCGTTGGCTCAATGAACTGACCTAATGATAATAATATATTATAATGTTTTATTTTAATACACTCCACGGTGTACGTACTTTAATATTATACATGGACAGTGCTCGAAGAGTACAAATTGAATATTATTAATTATGACGAAACCGTCAATTTCTATTAATTTGTTATATTATCCTTTAGTGACGTTGATGTTTGAAAGTAATATAATAGTATAATTTTAAATTAAAATTATAATTGGATAGGTAGTTTTTTATGGTCCATTTATACAGAAACTATTTTCACTTTAGCATTTATAACACACTTGATTTATCACGAGGTAGCAATATTTTTGTACACAATATATTGTAATTTATTTATGGAACATTATTGTATGATTTGAGCTTTTCTATCAAATTTAATAGTGGTTATATTATAGTCAGTTATAGATCATTATCATGTTTAATTCAATAGTATATTAAACTGAAAAATTGGTCGTATTTCAGTATTATAATCGTAAATGGTATTAATATATTCACATACTTTTCTAGTTTCCTATAGATTTTAAAATCTTTTTTTATTGTATTTTTAACGGAGTTAGTAATTTTGTAAATAGTAAATATTTACATAAATCTTGAATAAGCGATATATCAATAAACACAAAGACCAATACGTCTTTGGCCCGGAACCAATTCGGTTATTATTTTTAACGTTGGAATGTGAGTGCCGTTCCGATCATGTGAATATATACCTACCTACCTACCTACCTATAGGAGCAGTAATAGTATAGTACCAAAAGACTATAGTAGAAGTAGTAGTATTAGTGGCAGTAGTAGAAGTAGTGGTGGTACCGTCTAGGAAACGATTGAAATGAGTGGGTCGACCGGGACGGTACCGTTGGAAAATCCATAGATCGAGTCAACGATATGTTTAATAATTTTCAAAGATAAAACCAGAATCCTGTCAATCAGCCACTACTATATGGCTTGATCGAAAATAAAAATTCACTTTTTGTTTGAAATATATTATAATCTACGATTAAACTCACATAATACACCGGCTGCAGCTATGTTAAATATCTATATGTATATAATATAAAACCGGAACACCGACTCATAATATATTTATGACGTATAATTTTGACATAATTTCTTATTCGCCAAACCGAGTTTCACTAGCCTAAGGATAATATATAATATAACTGTGTACGATTTATATTATGGATATACCCATAATCTATATAAATAAAAAAAAATTGTTTTGTTAAAACTGTGCAGCTACCTGGAGGCAAATAACTATATTGCTAGTTAGGTTTTTAGTTTTTTACATTTAGTAAATACCATAACATATTATAGTACCATATAGTATGTACCTACTATGCACAGTGTAATTGGGCCTCTGGTATACACACGATCGGGTGTATAACGTTACTATAAAATTCCGCGCCTGTCACCCGAACTACAGCTCCACGAGAGTGACGTGTTTTTTTTTTTTTGTATTTTTTTCTTACCGTCCGTCCCCCGCAATGGTCTTATGCATGTGACTATTCCAAAATCATATAATAACAAGCCCGCAAACGAAATTATGTACTATATATAGGCGTACGTGCAAGTCTGCAGATTATGAGCGTTTGACCTACATATTTTAATATAATATTTATAGTCTCGTGCCAGTCGTGCATGTTACATGTATATGTATACAGCAATGCATCTGACGGACAAACTACCTTCATAATGTATTGTCAAAAATTAAAACATCATCCCTAAAACACGTACAGTGACGTGGACAGATTGGTCCGATCTACATAACAACACAATGTGTACATCATTATATATTTAGCATGTTATAACGATAATAATATATAATCTCAAACGTAGGTATAGGTACTTGGAATATTTGATGGAGAGAGAGTGACGTATTATATCGCGGTACAGATTTCGCAAAATAAATAATAATGTTATGTACGCGATATGGATGTACGCGGCCGACGAGGAAAAACATTAAAAGCCATTAATCATATACATTATATACTATAGTATATAAGAGGTGTATCGGTATATGTGTATAATAACATATATATATAGGTGGTATATAATAGACGTCATATTATTACTAGCTAGTCCCGGAGTTTCAACGAGCCCGACGGAAGTACTCGGCGTTATAATAATAATAATAATAATAATAATAGTAATGTATATATAATACGGTACGCGTTTGGCATTTACGCGTGTTTAGATTTCGATGGCCTCCGTGACCCAAGTCGAAAACGGACGCGTGCACATAATAAACGCATGTCGATTTTTATCGCGAGTCGCGGTGAGATTTATTATAATAAGCGACCGGCGAATTCCTAGAAAGTCCTATATTATTATAATGCTATATATATATAATACGCCTATGATACGCGTAGTGTAATATTATATATTGTTATTACATATTATGATGAATCGCATGTCGCGCTCGCGACAGATACGTCGTTTTTGTGCGAAACGATCCAAGTCCGTATGGCTGTCATACTGCAGCAGCTGTTGAATATAACTAATAATCATTATTATTATTTTAAATTATTGTAATACCTCAAAATTATCGGGAGGACTCGGGGGGTGTTGCGCAAACCCGCGAGATCGCTGGAAATTCACAATCGCAGGAGTCGTCATTCGCGATGGAAAAACAAAGTGTTGATCAAACCGTGACAAAAAAATACCATCGTACTTCTAGAATATCATTGTAGTTGGTGCGTTGGTTTTTGCATCCTCCAATGAAGCTAATCAATAGACATTGCCTGTACCATTACCCGGCAATATAAAACACCTTTCTCAGCTGTTCACGTACTTGCATGGTACTGCGGTAAAGGCTGTAGGTAGGTAAATTAAAAAGTCGTTTTACGACTGGGAACATATTTTCAACACTTTTGCTCGAGGCATATATAATTAATGCTGTTTATTGTAAATTATGATATACGAGTATGATATTATAATTATCATATTCCGTTACCCGTACAATTTAAAGGAAAAAAAACACTGACACACGATTTATAGTCATACTAAGTTTTACATTTAGAAAAAAATCCCAGAAAAAATCGGGTAATGTACCCCTTCTCCCTCTTTGAGTACCCCTGGGCATAAATAAATAATGTATTATAGTACGCTGTATAGTGCTGTACTATTCATTTTACACATTTTTACGATATTTATAGATTTCACACGGGTTATCAAATATTTGGAGCTTATAGCATAGTATTGTACCTACACTTGATTATACTACCTACGTAGTATCTACGCACATTATATGCACAATGTTAAACAGTCTGACTACCTATTATATATTGTTCTACAGTCGTATTATGACGAAATCTCGCGCCTTATAATAACTCTACTCTATATGTATAGTACATTATAGTATAAAATAATGTGTGTTTGTGTAGTATACAGTCGTAGGGAATAATAACGCAAAAAAAAAAAAAATGTATTACATTATAATAATTTTGTTTTTTTTTTCAGCTCACCGGTCATGTGGAACAAATCGTCAGGCGTAAAAACGTTTAATCAACGTGACTGTCAGCCATCATACACATATTTGCTGCAGGTAAGCGGTCAGAATTTGACACACAAAGTTTTTTCCCCCCACCCTATAGGAACCGAACAATGCGTGAGCGCGTTTATTTAAAAAAACCAAAATACGGATCGCTTATCAATAATAATATCATAGATATTATAATATATTTATAATACCAGGTATGGTACAGGTGTCTAAAATTGGCACTGCGTTTTACCTGTCATCGCGGGTAAAATAATAATATGATATATTGAAATATATTATGCTTTTATCATCTCACAAGTATATAAATATTATGTGAAGATGGCTGGGCGGACGTAGTTCTTTTTTCGCGGACTTATTATCCGCGAGTGCACTCTAGTAAAACCGGTTAAACGAAACGACTAGTTTTTAGTGCATAATATATACACGCATAGTCCAGTTTTATTATTATTATTGTCGTATGTAAATACGTATTATTTTCACCATTATTTTGGCCCGCACAATATGATATGTTGCAACTAAAAAACAAGCGGGATGCAAAAGGTGGCTCATATTTGTTTCCTCGTTATTGTACAATACTAAATATTATGTAAACAAATATAAAACTATAAACGCCTGTTCGATTGTTAATGAGTTACAACCCTCAAACTCATCATCATTTTTTACATTCACAAGATCAATAATATACCAGTGAGTTAAATTAAGATTATACACTAGATAGTAATAACTAGAGACCGGAATTATATGCACTAAAAATGTGGCAAATATTTTTTCACAACTTTAAGAAATTTACGTTTAACTTAATTTCTTTGTGTCAGATAACAGCTTATCGACACTTTATCGAACTATATGAGATACCGTATCTATACCGTGTTAACAGTAATTTTTTTTGTTCACCAGGATATAAAAATTCCAATTTCCCGAAATGAAAATAAGATATAATTTGATTATTTACTAGACTGTAAATATATGCGCATTATATGCACTTACGAAAATATTTGCACTAACCCTCTAAATATGCAATTTTATTAAAATTAAATTAGGTCTAAGGAATTAGTGAAGTCTGAATCACAGACATTTTAAACCCTCGTTTGAGTGCAAACACTGGAGTATGAACATACAAATGCATAGAATTCCGGTCTCCAGTAATAACCTATTTGAAACATGGTGCCTTTTTTATTTAATACATCAAAATGAATGCAAAAAAAACATAAAAAGCTCATATAGCATCACAACTATTATATCTATTTGAAATGAAATTATATATAAGAATAAGAGATATTTTTTTGTCAAATAAATTTCAAATATTTCTAGACGCTTCCTCAACTGAACTTTTACATAGATAAATCTTAAAACATTCTAAAAATCCCATGAATTAAACAAACAATTAATATGCAATTATCATACAAGTAAAATTTACACTACACATCACTTCCGGCTACTGAATTTGAGCTACTTTCTACTTTTCATGAAACTTTTATTTTTTTCTTATAATTTATTTGAAGTTGAAAAATTAAATACAGAAAAAAACATATTGGTAGGTACCGATGTACATTCCATCTTTATGAATTAAACAGAAATTTGGTTTAGGTTAAGCTGTTGAATTAAAATATGTATACAAAATGAGATATGTCCAAAATGACAAACCTGCATGCAGATATATGTTGTGAAAATACTATACCAAACTATTAAGACTATACAAAATACCAATAAAGCTCTTGTTATGACGATCAGCTATATATCAGAATAAGGTAACTGATCACGGTTCTTTGAGATAGTGAACATGAGAGTTTAACAAAATATAACATCAGAAATAATGTTATCGAAAGAAATGTTTAAAACATAAAATTTTTATTAGAATTTATTTACTTGTAGGATTTGATAAATATATTAACAGTAATTAACCGATTAATAAAACCTTCATAAAATAATTAATACCTTAATAGATCTATATAAATTACAGATTTTATAAATTGTGTAAGCATTAATCGTGAAAGTTTATGAAAAATACTTTAAAAAAAAATGTAATTAATAATTATATACTCACATTTAGTTAAATTAAAAATCTACGCAAAAAGTTTTTAAAAAAAACTAAACTAAATAATAAACAAATATAAGTACATGATACGAACTTAGTTTCGGCCTTCATTTATACACTGGATGCTGAAATATATATTTGTTCTTATTATTATATTAAAATTATTTATATATCTATGTAATATAATATTATATTACACAATCTGTAAACAATTATTTTACAATAAATGTAGGTTGGTGCAATTATATGAATTAAGAACTCGGGAGTTTTGAATGAAGAAATCAACCATTGGTGTAAATTAAGTGGTGTAGTTGATTTTAGTAGCAAATTGGTAAAATCAATTTTAAAATTATATTTGTGTAAGTATTTTAAAAGTACAATTATTTATTATTACTCGCGCTTTATTAATTGGCTAACTTGTTAATACTAACAGCTTATTCGAATTGATTCAATATTATATAATATACATTTAACTAGCACCTTTACTAAATGTAGTATATCTTGGCCATCGAGATAATAAAATAATAAAATATGAGTACCTATTATATTATATAATATAATTATTGTGCCCTTTAAAAAACAAAATATACCAATAAGACCTTGCATTTGTTAATCAAAAGGAATCAAGCTCAAATATTAATGGACGTGAAATATAATAAATATATTGTTTATTAAATATATTCGTGTGTGCTATAAAACAATTTTTTTTTAATTTTATTATTTTACGATATAAAATATCGATATACATCGATATAGGTAGGTACCTATAAACAATTATTGTTTTTTTTACTGCTATAAGGTCATATTATCTATATATTTACAAAAAACGGCACTGCAAAAAAATATACAAAATGTTGGTTTTAATTTCAATGGTGTCATTATTTTTCATTTAACATAATACTAATATATTATATCTTCCTAAATAATCAGTATAACACTGTGTATTTTTTTTAAGGATAAGAAAGGAAGTTTAATGTCTCCTCCATTTTCATTTTATATACGAATACGTTTTTTTTCCATACATATATAACATGTTATATACTCATAATCGATACTAATCAGAACTCCCGCTGTTTGAATCGTTGTTGGATACTAATACATCATAACCTGTACGATTATGTTATGATATGTAATTATAAGAGCACTCCGAGTCACGACCTCGCGTGCATCCGACGTCTGCACGGCCATGCTGGTGGGCTATATGGTTTTTACTTCGTGCGTATTGGAGGGATTCGTTTTTTAGATAACGGACAGTCATAAAAATATTCTGCTGTACCTACCCATGTTATAGTGTATATTAAAATATATGAAATACAACGACGATCATGCATTTTTAGGTTATATTATAAATTATAATGTATACAGAGTGATTCACAGTGAATGATCAACGATCATTCCCATGTCTATGAATTTATTCAAATTCTGATTCTTGAAATTTTTAACGCTCTCAAAAACTATATTTTCCATTATATCATTCAAAGAGTGATTTGTAGTGATAAAAACTAAACTTTTATTTGAACACACCGATAACGTTAGCTTGTATATATTATTGTTGTTCTCCAATTATAAAGCTACGAAATCATTAAGCTAACTCATAGTTATATCAGTGTGATTTTCACTTAATGTGATCTCTGGTTTTAATAGAATACTTCGTTATTTATTGTTATTAAAAAATACCAAATCATAATAGGTAAAAAATATTGAAAAATATATCAAAAATATTTTTTCCCCTCCCTTGGCCGCTAATAATACAATCGTTCGGTTCTGTCTTTTAGCGACATTGGTATGTTTTCGATCTAATATGTTATACACACGTATACTGCACATCAGTATAGTCGTCTGTAACGTTTTCGTGTGTTCCTCCTAGGCTCCAATAGACACATAAATTAATATAATCGACTATCGACCGATGCCATGAGCGTATAATACATACAAGCACTCATTACTACTTACATCTGATCAATTATTTTTTAAACGAGTTTAAGACGAAAGTCGTCTTGTCTCTGCACGGCTGAGTTCCGACCAAGTCGCCTGTGTGTGCGAGATGCTCGCTTTGCTTCACATCGTATATAATTTCCATTGCAAATTATCGTCGAAAAGTATGGATAATACGCACGCCCAGTCATCATCTCTGTGCACGGATCTCCGTCCGTGTGTACTGTTAAAATATCGGACCATGAGTATGGGCACAGGATACCTACGCAAATCTTGTTGTTTGCGTTTGTCACCGCGATCTATGCGCGCAGGTACCTCCACAATATAAATACGATACAATCGCGTTTCGGACAACCGGCCGCCTCCGACACACGGGGGTGCGAGATAAATACAAACCGCATTATAATATCGGTGTGCTATACATAAATATAATATTATACATTGAACATATTATTATTATAATATACAACGCACGCGTTGCAACGATATTATCCCGTTTTATGGGTCACGAACGATTTAACGCTAATAAATATTCATATACGAGTTACTTATTATACGCGCACACATATATATATATATATATATATATACACTGCAACAGCGCGATGCTAATAGGCGACTTTGTTCTACATCATGCACTGTTTAATGCAATTGCTACTATAAATATTATATATATATATATATATATATATATATGTATACATGCAAATATATTATATGAAATTCCGATATGCATTTTTAATTTTCACATACTTTTAGCCACCACAATAACACGTTTGGCGCATGTAATTCCGCTCTGGATTTTTACCGGTCGTTTATCGTCTGCGTTTATAATATTTTTAATACACCCATGTGCATATTTATGTGTATAATCTCAGATTTAAATCTCATAATAATTATTTGTGGCCGCCGTCTCAAACCACTGTGTGTATAGTAGTTACCATTATAGGCATACACGTCCTCGGCTGACATATTATTATGTATACCAACTGCATGCAATATTATATTTCGATATCGGATAAATAAAACATTTTGGGCGTCCCGTTATTAATCGTTATATTGTCTGCGAGCTAGT